TGATTGGGTTTCGTTTTTTTCTTTCTCGCTTTTTTTTCGTGCTTTGCAAAAGGGTTTACGGTCCAGACGTCCGTCGAGTTTTTTTTAGTATAAAAAAAGGCGAATTTAATTAAATTTTTTTCTTATGGTCTCTCAACGTTGTGAGAACTTAGCGGCGAGGCAGCTCTATAAATATCATTTTGATACCCGGTCTGAAGCTGTAGCATAAGAAGAAGATTCTGAAGAGCACGCGGAAGTTTTTTATCTTTGAAATTTAGTCATAAGAAGTGTAGTGCATAGAAAAAATTTATGTTTATATGGTATGTTGCCTGTTTGGTTAGATCTATTTCTTTCAATTTAGAAATCTTTTTTTGTGCGTATGATATATCTATATATGATGATATATGATATATACCAGACCTTAAATATAAATATATACTATACTAGCATATCCAAAGTTTACTTAATAACCTTTCTATCTCTCTCTCTCTCTCTCTCTTTCTTTCTTTCCTTCCTTATCCCTTAGTAATCACCACATCTCGACCTAGCAACGAGGCGGAGGTGCAGCTGTATCGAGTGCTGCAGCGCGCCAGTCTGTTGGCCTACTACGACACATTGCTGGAGATGGGGGGCGATGACGTGCAGCAGCTGTACGATGCGGGCGAGGAGGAGTTCCTGGAGATAATGGCATTAGTGGGCATGGCATCGAAGCCCTTGCATGTGCGGCGTCTGCAGAAGGCGCTGCACGAATGGGCCAACAATCCGAGCTTGTTTCAAGGAGCCATGCTGCCGCAGCTAGGTAAGAGCGAAAGAGAGAGAGAGAGAGAGAAAGATAGATAGTAAAAGCTAACTAATGTTTCCCTATCTTAGGTTTATGTGAGACACCTACCAAGCCCGCGCCCGCTTTAATATTCAACTCAGACTCAACGCCCGCACTGCCACGCCATAAATACGCATCCTTTCAGCCCACAGCTCCAATTCCCTCTGCGGCTGCTGCTGCTGCTGCTGCGGCTGCGGCTGCTTCAGTGGCTCCATCTTCAGTTGCCAATGCCCAGATGCTGGCGCAGATTAGTGCGCCCGTCATGTGCCCCGCTCTGCCCGTGCTGCAGAGTCCGACGGCGACGCCTCTGGTGGTCAGCAATGCGGGCAGCTGTGTGGCTGGGGCCAGCACGGCGCATCAGGTGTCGTCCAGCTCGCCGCAGCTGACGCCTGTGCTCACCGAGCTGCAGGTGCAGCGCATCACGATGTGCGCCGACAAGATAGCGCGACAGCTGCCGCAGCGGGAGCCGCGCGCCCAGACCTCCAAGAAGCGCACCACTCGCGAGCTGGAGCAGGTGATTGCCATGGCGGAGCACGATCCGAGGCGCATGGATGAGATACGTAAGTATTCGGCTATCTATGGTAGATTCGATTGCAAGCGACGCCCAGAGAAGCCGCTGACACTGCACGAGGTCTGCGTGAATGAGGCGGCGGCGCAGCTCTGTCGTAATCCCCAGACCATTTGGCTGCTCACGCGGCGCGACGAGCTCTTCCCACTGGCTCGCCAGATCGTCAAGGATGCGGGCTTTGGCCATTCGGCCAGCATAGCCCGCTATGGCGGTCTGCTCACCCAGCTGCCCAACCAGGCAATGCAGCGTACGAACATTGATCTGGACTGCGAGTCCAGCGATGCCATGACTGCTGCCTCGGCATCGGCATCTGCATCAGCCTCAGCTGGCGGTGCTGTGCTGCCCAGCGTCAAGCGGCAGCGCCTGTCCTCCACAGAGGCGGCTCAGCTGCCCAGCGAACTGAATCGGGTAAGGAAGACGGAATCCATTGAGCCTTAATCTGTGGTCTAGATTATCTGGTGCAGTGCGCTTCAGCTTCCAAACAAAGTTAACCCAACATTTTGCTTTGCAGCTTGTGGTGCGATCGAAAGATCATTCAATTTACTAACGTCTGCCTAGAGGTTCTTTTTAGAATATCTAGTTGCGATATTATACTCTCCATATAATTGTATATAGAACTTGCTTATAGCTCGTAGTCTTTGGTATTTGTTTGTTTGTTTAGATTTAATGAAAGCCTAGTCTCATACGTTTAAGTATTTTACGTAGGTCTGAAAAATGACTAACTACTAACCTAACTAACTACTGAGACCTGTCTGTCCTTCTAGGTGTTCCTATCCATACTTATTTCTTTCTTATTTCTCTCTTCCTCTCTCTTTTTAATTCTTTCTTGTTATTCTTTCATCTATTATTTTTTTCTGCTATAAAATTTCATTAAAATATAATCAAAATTAAATAATCTTTGACTGTTCTACGTGTGAATGTATTACTAAATATTAGATATAAATAGAGTATGTAGTGTTAATATATTTGTTTCTTAATATATTTGTTGTTGTTGTTCTTTGTAGTTAAATATTTATTATTTTTTTGTTATCCAACTAAAACTAAGCTCTAATACTATATTGTCTTTATTCCTGAACCTCATACCAAGCTCAACTAACTTATCCAATTTAAACATCAAACGTTCCCTTATACTATCACGTCTATCCCAAACTAACATAACCCTAATCAATCCCAATCATAATTTACTTATCTTTTGTTTTTCTAAACAACTCTTTATCTCTAATACCCAAACCCAATATTATCTAGTTCAACCTAACCTAGCCAAATCTTATCTCAATGCCAGCACATTCTTTACTCAATCCTAGCCCACTTAGTTCTAGTTCCGTTTATATAGTGCGTAGTCTTCTCCGTTATATATATACATATATTGATATATTGACTTCTGCAATATTTGGTGTACCTTTCGTTGAGCCAATAAATAAATTTCGATTGCTTTTTGAAAACCCAAACGAACAACCCGTGTATTCCTTGCCTTGCTTAATGCGCTGCTCTGCCGAGCATAGCTTTCAAAATATATTCCCGAAATTTTTAATCAACAATCTTTTTGAATACCAAAAAAATACCATAATATACCAACTCAAAGGAAGCTGTGGAGGATTCGCGCTACAATCTATTTGCGATGTATCAAAAGTTTGCCAAGCCGCCGTTCGATTTAACGGAAATAGCCAAATTCTCGTAAGTATATACAATGTATCAGATACACTATATACTATATATCTAATATGTATGTCATATATCTCAGATTGGGCAAATCGGCGGACTTTGAGGACAACGATTCGCGCTTCTCCTTCAGCAACTCCAGCTCGCCGCCCCTGCCAGTGAGTATGTGTTGTGGAGCGTCCAAACGTCCCGTCCCATCAGCTGGCTGGCTAAAAAATGTATCTTAAGTAATGCTCCATCAAATTTCCCATAGGGCAATGGTCTGGAAAGTGAAAGATCGCCCGTCTCATCGCTGGACGCGTGCTGCCCAAAGCCGAACGAGAGTCTCAGCCTGGGCGAAACTGTGGATCTAACAGCTGCCGGGGTGCAGGTCATCTCAGCGGCGGGTGACAATATCATTGCCGTGGCGAATCCCGCCCTGGCACTCAGCCCCACACTGAACGAGGTGCTCAAGCGGAATGTGGCCTCACCCGAGATTTAGGAATGAGCAGCTATACATAGATATGCATATACATATGTTTAATAGTAAATTAGGATAAATTTCTGTGCAATTTAATTAAATTAAACTTGTTAGACCTAAGTCCTTATAATTAAGTCAATAACTAGCTTGTATATCCTGTGATCTAAACTATTCTGTAATAAACATAAACGAGAGTGCTTAAGTCGCGCATATCCGACTGAGAGACACCCGGTATTGAGCTTCACTAAATTTTAGCCCTGTTACTTTCCTTTGCAAAGGATTTTTAAAGGCTTTCGATTGACTAATTTTCGGTCTTATAGCGAGAATGGCATAAAAAACATAAATTGATATTGATATCGAAAAGTATTTAATTCAAAGACCAATTCCCTTGTGTACCTTAAAGCATATATGCCAATATATCCCTTATTCAGGGTTTAATATACCCTTTTATACAAGTTACTTAAAGATCATATCAAAATCGGATTTGATGCGCCCACATTTCAAAGAGACTTCGTTGAAAGGGCTATCAGACGATCGTTAGCTCACAGATTTGGGCAATTGATCAGCTCAGCTGAAATGGATCGTGTGAGAATTACCCCCGAGCGCCGAAATCAATGGGAATTGTGGCCTGGCAAATTGTGTTTATATTTGCGAATTGTGGGTTTTATCCTTTTGTACACCTCTTGACTGTTGATGTCTTTTTTGTTCTGTTTCTTGTGTTTTGTGTTTTGGCAAAGACAAACCCTCAGTGCCCTAATCCCAGCCCTGCCCCTCCCTGCTTTTCGCAACGAGCTGTCAATAAAGATATCAGAGCTAATGATGATGAAATTAACACCCTTGTGCTACGGGGTATTCGCAAATCGGCTTGCGCATGCAAATTTTCATATGCAAATTTATTGATAAATGATCTTGGTTAAGAGCGAAGATCAATGCATGTTGTGATGCTGGCTTAATTGCGAATGCAACGCGAGTTCTGTTGGCTCAACAGAGCGTGAAGTAAAGAAAGTGGAAAGTGGAAATGGGAAAGCAGAAAGGAGCAGAGCAGCTGCGATTTGAGTCACAAGACAATGAAATAGACAAAAGGATAACTCCTTTACACACGGACATGTGGCCACAGATGCGCGGGGGAACAGCCTTCGTCTTGGTGCTGGCATCTGATCTGATTAGAGAGCACTGCGCGCTGTGAGGGTTACTTGAAGCGTGCCAAAAGGTGGTTTTGGATTTTGGATTTTGGGGTTTTCCATTGTTGGCATCTTTGAGATGGCGCCAAATGTTCTGAAGATCTGCGTAGACTTTCAAATGTATTCAAATCCAGCCGGCTCACAATTAGAATGCAGTTCAGGTCTAGCTCGATGTAGGTCGGTAAACCCTGCGCAACTCTTTTAACACATGTACCAACCACCACAGAATATGTAGATGAAAAGGACTTAGATCACGGCCCCTGCCTGACCAAGACGTTCATTAGACGCATGATTGATGAGGCTATTTGCATAAGTCTTTGGCTCTGAGGCACGTTCAGGATTCGGTCATGAGAACAAAGCCCAATGTCAACAGAAGAGAGTTTCGCTTGGAGCGCTTCTGCCATCATTAGTTGTTCTCATTATTATAATTTGTATTATTATTATTATTAGTATTATTATTATAAAAGTAATTGAGTTAGCTAAAATCTCTCTTAGGGCGTATTCTTCAACTGCTCGATTATCCAATCCATGAAGTACTGTGTGCTCGAATAGACGCCGGGTATCTCGGGCCGGGCACAGCCCACGCCATAGGACACCACGCCAATCAGATAGAAGCGCATCTGTCCGTCGACCACCTCGGACGTCATCAGTGGTCCACCGGAATCACCTTGGCATGTATCCTTGCCGCCAGCCAAGACGCCCGCACAGAGCACCGCCTCGTCAAATTGTTCCGGTGCCAGATAACGGTTCACGCTCGCATACCTCCTGCGGCACTCCTCATTTTCCAGCACGGGTATCATCAGCTGCATGAGCACCTCAGAGGATTGGCCACCCTCCTGAGTCTTGCCCCAGCCAACGACAAAGGGATTGGTTGACACATACGACTTGGAGCGCAGAGCTGGACTGCTGGGCATACAGATGGGCACTATCGTGTCCGTAAACTGCACGTTTCGCTCCAAGAAGAGCATTGCGATATCTCCACGTCCAATGCGCTTAACATACTGCGGATAGCTCACTTTCTGCCAATAGAGATGGGTAAAGGGAAAATTTTAGAAAAGACTATATATGTATATTATTAATATATATCTAAGTTTCATTTCACTATATAACTCGTAGACAAAGGATTCGAAAGGTGAACAAATATATCGACAGCATGTGCTGGAAATCGTTCCACATGGTCAATCATTCGATCAGTCCACCAATTAATCACTCTGTCTCAAAGTTTTCCTTATCAATCGACATAATCCATATCTAATTGAGAAATAATCTAGGTCTGCATTTCTTCCATTTCTTCAATACTCAAAGTAATCATTTAGTCCATCAATCGCCCCAGTTCTTTATGGCTGGCCCTATATCTCACTGCTCCATCAGTTAGCCGCCTATCAATACATACCTTAGCAATCCTTATGTCCACATGACGTGCTTCGGTATCCGTGGTCAAATCATGTTCGCCCAGACGCACAAATGTCCTGAACAAAAAGGATTTGCAATTTCAGAAATAGTTTCAAATAATTCGAGATCTACTCACAGTTCCTCCAGAATGCAATGGGCAGCTGTGACCACATGTCTGGCCGTAATCAAAGTGCCGCCACACTTGAAAGGTGAGCCAGCGATGACGTCGTAGCCAAGTAGAGCGATCCAAGGCCAAGAGCCCTGCTTGGCCGGCTCTCCGCCGACAACCTTCTTGAAGGCTGCCGCCTTGGGTGTTGCGCCGCAGCCCTCCGCCACGGTGGGAAGACGACGTGGCACCTCGTTGAGATTGACTGGAATGACGGTTGTTATCTCGGTCACCGCCTGGCCAGTGGGGCAACAGACGTGGGAGCCAACGCGGCCGCACACCAGATTCGAGGCTTGCAATTGCTTGGCATAGTCGGGATCAGTTTGTCTAGCCCGAAGTTCGTTGAAGACGGGGTCACAGCTTTTGATGTCTGAAAAGAAGTTAACGGTATACAGATGAACATTTTGATAGAGCCACACTTTGTACTTACCGACACACTCACCCACCGTGCCAGGTGGAAACCGACAGGATGGCCCACGAGGCATTATAAGTGAGTTAGATGTAACTGGGGCAGCGGTTGTAGTTGTTGTTGTTGTTGTCGTCGTCGTCGTGCGCCGCGTTGGCGGGGTATTGGGGAACAGGAATGGATTGCTCGTCGTCCACGGGCTCACCGATGGCGTAACAAAGCTACCCTCTGTGGTAATGAAAGGATTCGGCCGATCTGTGACCGGATTAGTAATCGGTCGAGTGCAGCACACCTACATAGAGAGCAAATTGCGGATAGTCGCTTAAGCATATGGAGTAGGGGAAAAACGGAGGAAATATCAACTCTACCAATGGGTCGCGGTTGACGCTGCGTGTGCCGCAGCTGCGCTGCAGTTGCAAAATGTAATTCTGGGCGGTACGTCTATCGGTCTGCTGGAAGATATTCACCACCTGGGGGCAATAACTAAGCGCCACACAGCTACCATAATAGTTCTCGGGCGTGATGCAATTCTGGCGAACTAAAAATGTAACCAAAAAGCGAGAGTTTAGACACGGATTAGTAAGCTTACATAGCTGAACGTTACATAAGTGAAAGTAAAACAAGATGATAGAATGAGATTAAAGAACTTAAATGGTAAGTTTTAGAATAGAATTGAAATTAAATTAAATTAGTAAATGCAAAAACTACACTTAAGATGATGAATCTTTGTCTTGATAATGATATTCGAAAAATCAAATCCAATCCCATTTTATGTATTCCTTGAGGTTTTTATGGTTTATCATTCCACATTGTCGAATTCTATTTTATAATTCTTATGCTTCAATCGACATTTGAATTTAATAAGGCTCATTTGCAGTTTTTCGTATAATAAAATATTCTATACTACAAATAATTGAGATTTCACAGACCTATAGTATATCTATATATTACGCATTTATACGAGATTTATCATCAAAATACTTCAAGCAATCGAATATAGAAAAACTTGTTTGAAAAAAGTTTTATTTTTGAGTTATGACAGTTAAGAACTATAAAGAACGAAGCCGGTTACAAAATTAAAATTAAATTATAGCTGAGATTAGCATTACATAGAAACAGCTATAGCCATATGATATGAATAAGTTTTACTATTTGAGTGATCAAGCAATGATTGATGATATTGATCAATTATCTATATATAAACAAATATATATATATATATAGATATGTACATATATAGGGGCTCGTGACATACTAATGGAATCACCTATTCAATTTTAATCCACATCCCAGAGATGTGTTTGAAATACTTAAAACTCTTTGAACTCTCTCTTTGCTGAAATGAACCATCCGGTAAAACGTGATCGCAATGCCTAAGCACATCTGCATAATTGCCAAAAATTTCAAAATAAATAATAATAAAAGCTGTAAGGAAACGGTGACTGGCATACAGCGGCGCTCAGCTGACCTTGGCGCTAGCTTGCAATGACAGTGACACTGACTGGTTTTACGGACTGCGCCTGAAGCGTATACCAAAAAAAACACAACTGTTTAATATATATTTTAATATATATACATATACATACATGTATATACATGTATATACATGTAGAGCCAATTTCGAACAAGTTTCAATTAAAAACAATTTATATTGCTCCAAAATATAACAGCGAAAACAAAAGACTTAGGCAACGAACTTGACAAATCATACATGTTCGATTGTAAAATTAATATCTTCATAAACAAATTTATATCATACATATATTCACAAAAATGCTAAGTCAAATTAAAAGAGCTTCAATTCAAATAAACATTGTATTTTTGGGCACAGACTTGAAAAGACTTAAGCGACAAACTTGACAAAGTAAATTTGCGTGCGACTCTAAATTGTGCTAAATGAAGCGTAAAATGTATTGTTAAAAATATAGATTTTTTACATAAAATAGACAGAGCCAAGTTAATATCGAACCAGTTTCAATCGAAAGCAAAATTTGCGCACACAAATTGAGCACCCAAGACAAAAGACTTAGACAACGAACTTTGTCAAAAAAAACCCCACTAAAAACTATAATTAATTATAGTCAATATTTAAATGTGAATATGCAGATATACATATGTATATAAATTGAGTATGTTATAGATGTGTCGCAGTTAATGGAACGGGTTTCGTCTCGTAATCCCCACTTGTTTACTTTGTTTTTGCTTAGTTAGTATTAGAAGTTTCTCTAAGGCTAGATGTGTAAGAATATGTATGTTTGCGCGCTTGTACCTTGTCGTCGATTGAACTGGGCGGGCGTGGGCGTGACCAGGCAGCCAAGCATTAACACAATACACAGTACTAGCTTCATTTTATCGCAGTTAAATAGATTGATAATTAGATATGATAAATATATATATAAATATATATTTATATAGAGATATCCAATTTCGCGTTGCGCACTCGCGACGTGCACGACTCGACGAACGTTATCAGACTGAGCGCGTCTTACTGACCGGCTGTCAAGCTTCTTTAGAGATATTATTACTAGCACTGTTTTTTTTTCCCCCGACTCGAATTTGGGTTTGGACAACGTGTTTGCGTGCCCGATCAGCGACAACGATTCGGCGTTCGACAGCCGAGCTGGGTTTTTATATATGCAGCCAGCGAGCTCTCAGTTCTGTTCTCAATGGCAGAGCATCGAGAGCGCTAATCTCATCAACTATTTAGTATATCAATTAAAAATCTCAGCTACAGCCTGCAAAAAGTCACAAATTCAACTGTAATTTTATGCAATTTTTCCCAATATAGTAAGCTAGATGACAAATCCCTTGGCTAGAATGCAAATTATAGATCGCATAAATTTACCGAACTGAACTGCATTGAATCTAACTATAATATCATATTCCCCCTGCAATTATATCGGATATGTTCTAATTGCCTGTATATATACATATATATAAAATTTGCACTAAATCTAATGCCAAACAGCGCTTACTCTCAATGTAAACAAAAGATATTTTCCCTATATAGTGTCGAATATACATATAACAACGGATGGCTAACAGCTATTACGGAGTCAGGGTAATCAAAGTAATTTAGGGATGCAAATGGGCTGAGTATACTATGTATTATATCCAAAATCGATATTTAACTCAACTTAACTTTGTTATCGACTAATATCGAGTTTAGTAAATATTAAGTTAAGATTGATGTAAGAATCATAGACTCTAACATTAAACGTGTTTCTAGAATAAAAATATTCCCATAAAAGGGCTTCAATAATGACAACACAAATAATGCGGATCCAAATATGATATGCGAATAGTTAGCAATAGTTTTGAAGCCATGTGAAAATAGCTATGTAATTAAACTATTAAGTACACAAAGTAAGAGTATATCTGTATATTCGTTTGTCTGTATAAAGCTAGTAGAGAGGTCAAGTTAACATCGTCGTATAACCAAGTTAGTTAAAATAAATGTATAAAAGAGGCGTGCCAGAATGACAAATTTTCTATTTATCTTTCACATATGAAAAGCAGCAATCGCCAAGTTTTGAAGTTATGGAGTTGCTATAAACTATATAGAACGGGTAAATAAGATAAATACCTAATTTTAGTTAGATGTCAGTTGGTATCTATAGATGAGTATATCTGTTAGGGTATACAATAATACATATGATTTATAGACATATGTATGCTAAAAATATGTGATGGACGTGTGAACTGACAGTGAGAGAGAGAGGGAGAGAAGGAGAGCGAGAGAGAGAGAAATAAGAGAATACTTTCAACGAGGCGTCTATTTGGCGTCTGTCGTTTGTCATTGTCGAGTTTTAGGAATCGAAAGTGAGTCAAAGCGAGGTTTATTTAGCACATTAAATGCTTGATCGGTGCTTGACCAGAGCTTGATTAGTGTTGTAGCACTGCAGTAATGACAATTGGTTAAATTATTTAAACGGATTTAGCCTGAGCCGCCTAATGAAGCTGTTAGCTGACAGACTAATTGTTAACTGTCAGCTCATGTGGAATAAATTAAGTAAAAATCGATTAGTTAATCAGCAGACGCAGCTCTGCCAACTAGATTCCATCTCATACGATCCACGGTCGACGATCAACTATCGACGATTGCCCATTGACGATTGACGATTGACGATGATAAGAGCTGAGGTTTGTTTGTATGCATTCGTTGTGTAAATCACAGATTAAGAGAGAGATTACGATTTAGTTTGCGACTTGCATTGCATCTAATCGATGACATAGTCACTGCACTGAGAGAAATTTTCATCAGCTAAGCGATGAGATAAAGAGGACATTATATAATTAAGTATATTGTTTCATCTAAATTCAATAGTAAAGATGTTTAAAATATGTAGACAATTTTATAATATTCCTTCCGTCAACAAATATGATTCATATTCAGCCTCCAATATTTCAAAGAATATTTAAGCAATAAAATTGAGTCAAAACAACACAGAAGGAGAAACCAAAGAAACTAATAAAAATTTGTTATACAGAACTTGAACGCGTCTGTTTCTCACAGTGTATTTGCGTGCATTGGACTGGAATCTGCTCGGAATGCCGAGCAGCTGAGAGCCAATTGTTATGCATAGAATGTGAACGCATATCATAGAACATCATATTATATATAGGCTCAATGTCGATGAGTAAGTCGGAGCTGAAGTTGAATGAGAAGAGAAGGTGGGAAATTCAGGTAATTAAGATATGTACCTCCTGCTGGCCAGTTCCGGCTTGCACATAGTTTATGTGACATGAAGAAGAAAACTCGACTCGATAAGTGGCCAAGAGTTCTACGGAGGCAGAGATGGAGCATGACACGCGACATGTGGTTATATTTATAAACTCACAAATCAAGCTCATCCTCTACAGAATGCGTATTTTATTCTGGAAATGCCCCGTTTGTAATGCTTGCATGCTCACAATTTTAAGTATAGTTTTAATACAGAAAGGAAAATATGAAAAATCAATCTGTTTTATTTATACTAGGGACTTTTTTGAGTGTTTTTTTTTTTTTGGAACTGATTACAGAGTACAGATTTTCTATATATAGTATAGGCATAGCCATTGGGAAAATTATGAATGACCATATATATACACATATAATTATTTGCAGATGTTCTCTATTTAGGTCATGTGCTGCATGTTATATATATGATGATGATGATATATGATAATGATATATGACATATGTTTGACCATTGCACCAACAGCCATCACTAAGGATAAGAGAACATTTGAACGCTTGCCAGCAGGCAGAGTCTTCAAGGCTTATCTCTCTTATCTCTAAGACCACTACGCCAGTCACTAGCTATTCCACTATTCCGTCATCAAATATCAGTCTGTTTATTTAGGTCAGATTTACCTGGCTATAGATTAGATTCAGATAAGCATTTGTAGTCGAAAATGTTGTAAATATACTGTAATGCTGACTTCCAGCTCATGAACTCATGAAATAAAAGTAGTAAGACCTTTGCAGTGAATACAAGATCCGACTATTAGAATGTTGGATCGCCCTAAGGGGAAGACTTAGAGACTTATAATAAAGCAGCTGTATATGGCTCTCATATCACTTTATCTGATGATTGATATTTATTTTCATAAATATTGTATTATATATTTAATTTACTAAAAGTGTTGGTAATCAAATATTAGGCGTAGTGTCAACAAATCGTCGCCTCCTTCCTCTTGAAGCTCCAGCCAGTGTCTGCTGTATCCAACTCATGTAGCTGCTGGTTCTGGTGTAGACGCCGGGAAAACCAGGTTTGGCGCACTCGTAGCCAAAGGAAACAATGCCCAGCAGATAGTAGCGATAGATGCTGCCATCCAGCTAAGATGATAAATAAATATGATGGCATGATCATAAAGTTAAGAAATATATGAAAAGAAATGATTGTTTGGCTTTTGCCGTGTGAGTTCCCCACGCCCCCCCTCGGCGAGATGGCAACAAACTCAATCACCTTGGGGGATTTGTGGCTGATTTGGTGGCTCAATCAAGACCAAAATAAAAATGGAATTTAAAAAACTGGTTCATTGATGAGTCAGCCTGACTGATAGTGTAACTGACCTGCGGCAGCATTAATGGTCCACCGGAATCCCCCTGACAGGCATCGAATGTGGAGCTGCCAGCGCAAATTAGCTGCAAGAGATTGAGAAAACAGATTGGAATCGTGAACTGGGTTGAGCAAGCAAGTTGAGATGAATAGGGAAGCGAAGATCAGACGAGGTGAAATTAGTATAAAATAAGACCAATTTTAGTATAGTATAGATTATTATAGTATTGCATATGCAGATTGGATTACTGTAGAAGATATCTCCAATCTACCTCTCACTCCTTCGCAAGGGTATTCAAAGCTTCGGCTTTGGCTTGCATGCGCTTTCAATGAGGTTTACCTTGTCGCTGAATTGAACAAATTGAAAGACAGATTTGTAGCTCTGCTGACAGCTCTGCCGTGAGACGATCGGCACCTGGGCATCCCGCAGCACATTGGAGGTGGTGCCCTGATGTTGCGTGGCCCCATAGCCGGCCACAAATGGATTCATGCCCACGAACTGATCCTCAAGCAGAAACCGGCTCGACTCTGGCAGGCAAATGGGTCGAATGTCAGCTGGGGAAAAGCAAAGAATATAATTAATAGGAATGCAATGGATATACATGACTTTATATAGTAGTAGTAGGAGTAGAAAGTCTTATACACTCTAATCTGTAGAGCAGACAGAGCATTCCAATAGATGATAAGCGGCTTGAGCAAGACAAGCGCAACTACTCAACGCTAGATGGCGCCACGCCTTTCCGATTGAAATTGAACACATTGAAATGAAATAAAAGCGAAACGTTTTGTAAAATTATAAAAACAGAGTATAGAAGTTGGCTAAACTATGAAAATTGGAGTATAAGTGATAAATAGACTATGTAAATTAAATATTAGAGTTTACAAAACCTATGCAAATATATTATAAGGGAATTATTTCAAAGAGAGTATAAGATTGAAATACCATTACCATTCCATTTCGTCGCTACTCACCAGTAGATGGCGCCTCGCCATTCAGCTCAATCAAGGCAATATCATTGGCAATGGCAGACAAATCGAATTGCGGATGCACAACAGTGCGTCGAATGCGATAGTCCATCACACCCGCCTCATTGGGATTGGAGAGATCGCGAGCGCCCAGGCGAACCAGCGCCAACATGGAGTTGATGCAATGTGCCGAGGTCACAACAAACTGCGGACTGATCAAGCTGCCGGCGCAAAGAAATTCCAAGCTATTGCGATTGCCATCCTTAAAGTAGCCCAAAGCAGCCATCCAAGGATAGGCACCTGGTGGAAGAGGAAGTTTATGTATGAGTGTATGAGCTCATGAGATTGATGCTCACCTTTGCGAACGGGCAAGCCGCCGACGACACGATTTGTGGTGGCGCCACCTATGCCACAGCCGCTGGAACTGCTGGAGCTGCTGGAGCTGCTGGCACCACCTGGCTGCGAGGGGAAGACAGGTACAGGACCAGGAGCAGGAGCTGGGTGAACAGGCACTGGAGTGGGACGCAGCACAATTCCAGGTTGATTTATGGGCGGCGTGGGCTGAAAGACGGTGATGGGCGGAGGAGGAGGCGTGGTGGGTCCGCTCAACGAGGAGAACGAAAAACCGACAGCTGGCGCAATCTGCTTGGGATGACGGTTGGCCGAAGGCTCACGCATCGTGGCACAACAAACCTGCAAAGGCAGCCTCAACTCTTTAGCAAACGTCAAGGAGGAGGAGACTGGGGAGGAGGATTTACCAAGAAGCTGGCGCCATCAAAGCCACAAATGGACTGTCCGAGAAACGTGTGAAATTCCTGACCCGCTGTGCCCGTCTGATACTCCTGGACGAGATGCGAGCAGCTCGTTAGAGGGACGCAGCTGCCGGGGCGAGCGCGTGCATCATTGCAGCTCTCTGGAAGCTGGGGCTGGGCTAGAATAAGTTACAGATGGAGCTCATGGTACAGTTTTGGATTTGGGTTGGGTGCAAGTGCAACGATCGATTAGGATATTCAATTTGTTTTTTTTTATTGCGCAAACAACTACAGCTAGGTGAGGGGAGGGGGCTATGGGATCTCGATTGTGTAACTAGTGGAATCGGATGCGACGACGTCGACGATGTCGACTCGGATTGAGCGGCATAAAGACCATGATATCCGAACCCATGGGCATAGTGGAAACCTGCTGCTGCTGCTGTTGCTGTTGCTGCTGTTGCTGTTGCTGCTGCTGCTGTCGCGGATCGATGCAGGGGCAATTGGGCAGCGGAGGCAATCCGCCGGGAAGGCAAACGAAAGGCGACGAAGGACACGTCGGTGCGGGCAATGTAGTTTCAGCTGCGGTTGTTGTGGTCACGCCCGCTGCGGTTGTGGTGGTGCTGCTCGCTGTGGTGGAGGTGGTGGTGCTGGTGCTGGTGCTGGTAGTCGTTGTGGTCGTGGTGATTGGCTGCAAAGGCGGCGTCGGTTGAAACGTTGGATACACTGCATTGGACGTGGATGTGGGCATTAATGGCACTTGAGCTGGCGGCACGGGCAACGGATAGACCGTAAAATAACCTGTGGGGTACGCCGGACACCAGCCCTTGATGCTGGCCAAATACGAGAGAAATGGCCAGAAATAGACCTTCACACAGAACTCGTCCAGCAGCATGATCCAAGTATGCTATGCGATTTGATGCGATCCGATGCGTGCAGCTGCCCCAAGTGTTAGGCGCCAACTGCTCCAGAGCTGGCCAAAAACTCAATTTTTCAGGCCAACAACTGAATCCATTTAAATTGCATTGCAACAAATTATATCAAATTTAATTTAATTCGAACGTTTTGTGGACTTTTCGCTTGACTTTTTACAGAACGGAAGCGCAGCACACAGGGGCGGTTCAGTGGCCGCCAAGGCTTTGGGCCCGCAGCAATAGTGAGATTTTTGTATGTGAATATGTTCCTGCATGCAGCTGATGTTACTGCCCGTTGCCCCCTGTCCCACACATTTTCCGCTTTTGCCATGCTTTGTTAGCTTTTCGGCAGCAAAAATTAAAATAACTGGGCCACTGACGCTTGACATCCGATTAACTCGAGCGCTATCAGCGATCGTGTTAACTGTTGTTTGCATGACACAAATCTCCAAACAGAATATATTCGAGGCGCTACTAAATTGAAGTCACAGATTTGTTTATGCATTTGTCACGATCGCAATCAGAATCGCAAATGCCAAAGCTTAAAGCCCCAAATATAAAAGGGATCAACTTACAGTTCACCAAATCGAACAGATAGACAAGGCATATCCAAAATTCCGGGCTCCAGCTATATAGTTTATATAGTTTTCCCATTGCTCTTGACTCCGACGCGACGCGTTCCCCTTTAAACAAACTTCAATAATGCACTGAGCTGTGGGCGCTACGACGACTCCGAACTTAAAATAGAAATGAAAATCAAAATAAATAAAAAAGCTGTACAATTATTTCGATTTATGATGGTTTAATTGTCGCAATTTTCAAATTAAATCTCATCATTTGATTAACATTTGACAGCATTACAAAAAATATGTGTGATGACAGTTCAGTTGAACTTGAAAAAGGTAAAGCACCTGTTGAACTCCCCACATCAAGGTCTATCTAACTATATATAGTCATATACGGCGAGCATATCAGCTAAACATAGCTGGATTTATATGAAATATTGACTGAATGACTGCTGATTAATGGGACGTTAGCCCTTACCAAGCGTTCCATTTTTTACTCTAAGTGTTTCCTTTAAGTATTTCCTCCAAGTCTTTATTCGAAGCATCTCTTCTAAGAATTTCCTCTAAGTATTTCTTCCAAGTCTTTATTCGATGTTTTTTGGCTAAGTGTTTCATTCTTCAAAGTCTTCTAATCTTTTCTTCTAAGTATTTCCTCTAGGTATTTCCTCTAGGTATTTCTTCAAAGTATTTCCTCTAAGTTTTCTTCAAAGTAATTCGAAGAATTTTCTTTAAGTATCTCCTATAAGTTACGTCACTTCACTTCACTGCCCTACACGACTGACCCCCAGCGGGCCTGGGCGACTGAAGAAATGCTGCAGCTGCTGCCCTTTATATAGGGCGACTTTCACTCACAGCCTAGGTAGCGCTCAAATGTTGAGCCTGACGCCCGAACTTTGAGTGACCAATGGGAAGACTCTCTGCAGCTGCAAGCTCTCTAACTTCGTTTACGAAATGAGCACTACTGCATACATATAAAGAACTTAAATGATCTGTAGTTCTCAGAGAGACAAACGGAGGGGCAGAATCTAAGAAAGACAGGGAGACAGACATACGAACAGACATACATATTATGCATGTACATTCATAAATGATTTATACAACATCTATATATGTATTTTCGGATGCGCTTATTTATTGAGTTTTTGGCTTTTTAGTTAGGCACAGTTAGGCTAAAATAGTATTTCGGTTTACATTGAGAGAGACGAAACGGAAAATATGCTCTAAATCTAAATGCCGACTACGACTACCTCGTGTACTCGTACATACAACATGCATACATCGAATATGAACTATATATATAGTGTGGAGTATTGGAGTATATAATTTGGATTTCTCAGTGTTGTCCAGTCGCGATCCTCGTCGATTTATTCCCGGTGCTTGCAGTCGAGAAAGAGTTGCGCCTGCGATTGAACGAATCGAAAGATTTCGAGCAGCATTTCGTTGGAGGTTTTGCAATTGCCCTGCTGTGGCTCAAAGAAGCCACCGGTACCGCCAGCACCACCCACCGAACGTTTGCCCCAATCCGGCGAGAATGTCAACTGAGGGAGAGAAAATATATATGCTACACTAAAATACTTCCAGGATTAAATTCTACTGAGACTCACCTGACATTCCACACAGGCCAGCAGGAAGAAGAGCACAGCGACAATGAGGACTTCAGTCTTGCAGTTCATCTTGATTACTAGGAGCTGTAAACCACTATGAGCTATAAACCACTTGAGAGCTGCTTTTATAGCTCTCTGATGGACCAACTTGCCACAGACGGTTCAATTAACTGAGGACACTTCTAAGGATGCGCTGGCATCACACAACAGATGCGACGCCGCAGCTCTGACGTCATTCATATACAAATAGATCAAAGTACAAGTTTAGTATTAAAGTCAAATGTGAATATATGATAGGTATACACATATACATACATATATATAACGTATCACATTTATGCAGTTACTATACTCAAAATATATTCCAAATTTCAAGTCTAGCTGGACATAGCATTACCCGAAAATATTAGTACTTTTTGAAGGAGAAGCTTAGATGGACTAACTGACGTTTGGACGAACGAGAAGAAGGGAGAGTATTGCACCAACCAATATACTCTTTTACATTGGTAACAACATTATCCAACTCTGAAACTCTATAAAAATATAAAGCCCAATTTAATAATTTCGAATCAGAAAGAAAATTTTAACTTAATAAAGTTTCGATGAAAATGCAAATCAACTACTAGAAACTACAGCAACCCTAAAAATCAGACTCTATGTTAGACCCTATGGCTAGACGTTGCTCAACGATTTCTAGTTTCTAAATTAATAAAATTGGAACATTTTGGAAGCATTTGTGATTTGTATGTATTTATTAGAATTGCGCATATATATATATATATACATTGTATGAAATATATATAAATAGGTATATATAGTATTAAGAATCGTTAAATTAAGCAGTGTAGTAGTAAAACAAAGAATATTTATATAGTATATATACTATATACTATATATCTATATATGTAATATAAAAAACGTTACACACTTTGTATAAAAAAAAGTAGAATAGAATTTTATAGAGGTTTACCAAATATTATTGTATTGTGCGTTTTTATCAAATTCCTTTCATTTTACAATTATTTATATAATGCTAAAATTATGACAAGAAACAATCAAAATTGTTTATTCCTCATTATTATTTTTGTTGTGTTTGCGTGTGTTTTGTTAATTATATAAATTGTATTTATTTTGTTTGTTTTTTTTTTTTCGTATTTTTTGTTATCAATGCTCTGACTAAATGCAACGAGAACGAGGCACTCAATTTGTTATTAAACACAACACAATCTTTGATTACGCGTAACAACAAAAATCGAATCATATATATTATGTATATATATATAGATATATATTATTAGTAAATAACAATACAAATTACAATAACACATTAATGTTTGGCTTAATCGAACATATTAACACAAACATTCAAAAACTTGGCGTCAATTACAAAAATTTCTCATAAAACTTTCTAATCATAAAACACTTTTTGTCCTTAATTGTTGCACATTTGATCAACAAATAATATTACAAAAATATATATATACATATATATATTCATGTGAGTGTGTGTGTGGGTTTGTATATGTTTTATAAATGTTTATATATATATGTATATATATAAATATATATTTATGTATGTAGGTATTCAAGTATTTATGTAAGTATTTATATGTAAATGTGCTGTGGACTTATTGAGTTTGCTTTGCTTAGCTTTGCTTTCGTTTTATATTTTTGTTTTTGTTTTAGTTAGTTAGTTTAACTGGCGAGTGGGCGTGGCATGAGCTTTTAGACAATTCATTTTATGTTCAGGCAGTTAACAAAATGCAATTCGTTGGGTTTCTGCTGTAGCTGGGATTACTTCGGTTTACTGGGTCATCGGTATTTCTCTATTTAGCTCAGTCGACGCGCATTTTTTATTTATTATTTATTAATTATAAAAATTTTGGTGTTATACTCGTTACATCGTATCTCTTCCCCTCTTGATTTGTGGAGATTCGTTTTAGCTGCCCACCTTACATAAGGCAGCACTTCTTCTTGCCCTTCTTCTTGAAGCCCTCCTCAATGTAGGGTCGCTCTGCTATTTGAAATTTGCGCACAATGCGCACCAGCTCATGGAACGCCTGATCCACATTCACTCGCAGCTTGGCACTACATTCAATATAGGGTATCATTAGATTTCTGCTGGTATTTTGTGCCTCTTCCAGCGAGACATGACGTTGATGCTCCAAATCGCATTTGTTGCCCACCATCAGCATGGGAAACTCATCACGATCCTTGACACGCAAGATTTGTCGCTGAAATTTAGGTATTTCATCGAAGCTGGAATGATCATTCAGCGAGAACACAAGCAGGAAACCCTCGCCGGAACGCATATACTGTTCACGCATTGCACTAAATTCCTCCTGGCCAGCTGTATCCAGAACTGTTAAAAGATTTCAATTAATGACCGATATATTTATGTATATCTTACTAATATATATATTTCCACTCACTATCCAATTTGGCGGGCACATCATCAATGACACATTGCTTCGTATAGGAGTCCTCGATTGTTGGATCATAGTCTGTGACGAAATAGCTCTGAAATAGTACAGAATAAATATATTAATACATTGAAAATAATTTTGATTATATTTGTGAATCTGAAATATAAATTATATTATAAATATACAATATATAAATATTATTATATAAGTTAAATTATTTCTTTTGTGAATTAGTTAATAATTATAAATGAAAGTTGATGGTACTGCCGACTAGAAGATACCCTAAAAGTGCTAGATCAACCTGGATGTCGTCAATGCATATTTTGACTATATTTGTGTATATACAATAATATTTCAATTTCGTTTTTAATTTAACATTTTTTCCAATATTAATTTCGGTCATTTGTATGTTCATTTTTATTTATACACATTTAGAATTTAATGATAATTGAACCACTGTGCAGTAAATAAAACCTTTTGAAGCACTTTTTGATTTGTTTACACACAGTTTAATGCGCTACTTCAGTTGATGAAAATCTTGGCATACATAAAAACAAATGTTTATGCATGTGTGTTCGTATGTGTGTGCATATGGTACATATACATATATACTATTCGTATATATGTATGTGAATGGCTGTGGCATGGGCATATGGGGATGACGCAAATAACTAAAAATAAATATTGCTAGTCGCATTGCCACATTTTGTGAATGGTGCGACGGACGAATTAAGAATGAGACCGTGGTCGTGACCATGGCGAACGCCCCGTTAGATTGACCTCAACTCCGTACACTCCTCACAGACACAGTCGCAGTATCCATTTAGGCCGCTCGACTGGGCAACGCCCTTAATACATGCCGATTTTCCATTTCAATTGAATTTTCTATGAAAATACATTTCAACTTGATTTCGATGCGCTGATCTATGCTCAAAAATATGTAGCTCACACGCACACATATGTATATAAGCATATATGTACATATGTATATATTGCCAAACAAAGTAAGTCGCTTGTTGCTTTTGCCAAAACAAGGGTCCAGCCCACTTGTTACGTTACGCCGCGCCCCTCTG